ACACATGCAGCTCTGCTTTTTTTTTCACTAGACACCCTGTATTGACAGTCTTGGAAAGAAATTTAATCAGCTGTGATATTGCAAAGAACTTTAAAAGAGCACAGGGTCATAACAAGAGCCTGGAAAAGAAAATGTGGATAAATAAGAAAAAATACAGACTCATCTACCCCTGCAAAGACCAATTAAAAACTCCACTATTTTCTGAACCTAGAAGTGTTCGGAGCTTAAAAAAAATGGAATAAGCTGTAAAGAAAATTAAACTATATTACTATTCTCCAAATTAAATAGCATTCATGTTTCACTGTACTTTTCTAAAACACTGCAACCATACTGTGTTTAGTGATTATTTTTCAAGTTTTCGGTGCTATAAAAAAGAAACTGCTTATAAGTTGAAAGACAATTCTAGTATATTTAAGAAATACTGAAAATATAAATTTTTAATTTAAGAAATCTGATTAATTTAATATCATTTATGCCTTTTGAAAATAGTAAGACCTTAAATTATTTAATATTTAAGACAATAAAATGTTTTAGTTGAAAAAAGACTATCATATTAAAAAATCAAATGACTGAGGGAAATATTTTTAATTGGAGAACATGGATTTGAATGAAGAAATGAATGAATGAATGAAATTTATGCCCTGGCAATGCTGAAGTATGCATGAGCTGCCTGTATATGGCTGTTCTGTTGAACTTGTCCATTAGGTTTCAATGGTCTAAATTGATGGGGATGACTGACCAGGTCTCTTCCTCAAGAGGGCGCCAGATCTCACGATAGATGGCTGTGAGCCATCATGTGGCTGCTGGGAATTGAACTCAGGACCTTTGAAAGAGCTGCAGTGCTCTAACTACTGAGCCATCTCTCTAAGCTATGCAGTAAACAAAACAAAGAAATAGTAAAAAAAAAAAAAGTAGTATTCTAAGATGAAAAATGAGAAAAGGCGATTAGTAGACAAATTATAAAGGAAAATTAATAAAAAAACATATAAAAGGAAAAGGCTTTAAACTCCCTAGCAAATTATGGAATGAAAAATGCAAAAATACTGATGACAACTTATGCTGGAGAGGATATCAGGGGAACACTCCTCCACTGATGGTGGAACTTCAAACTTGTACAGCCACTTTGGAAATCAGTATGGCGGTTTCTTAGGAAACTGGGAATCAGTCTACCTCATAACCCAGTTATACCAATTTTGGGAACATACCCAAAGGATACATGCTCAACTATGTTCATATCAGCATTATTTGTAATAGCCTGAACCTGGAAACAACCTAGATGCCCCTCAACCAAAGAATGGATAAGGAAAATGTGGTACATTTATACAATGGTAATATTATTCAGCTGTAAAAAAAATAATGACCTCATGAAGTTTGCAGGCAGATGGATGTAACTAGAAAAAAAATCATTCTGACTGAGGTAACCCAGACCCAGAATGATAAATATGGTATGTACTTGCTCATAGATGTTATTAGGAGTAAAGGATAGGATAACCAACCTATAATCCACAGTCCCAGAGAGGCTAGGTAACAAGGAGGGCCCAAAGAGGGGCACATGGATTTCCCTGGGAAGGGGAAGTAGAAAAGATCTCCTGGTAACTGGGGGTAGAGGTTAGGGGGAAGGAGGGAATGGGAAGAAGAAGGAGAGGCTTGGGTGGGCTGGATGCTGGAGTCAGGTTGGAAGCAGGATGGAGGGGAGAGTAACAAAGGAGAGGTCTTTAAGGGAGGGTCAAACTGGGGTTAGGGAGAAACCTGGTGCCAGGAAAACCCCCAGAAACCCACAAGGATGACTCCAACTAAGACTCCTAGCAATGGTGGAGAGGGTGCCTGAACTGGCCATATACTGTTAGCAGACTGATGACTTCCTTTATTGCTATCAGAGACACTCTATCTAGTAACTGACAGAAGCAGAGGTAGAGATTAACAAGCAAGCACTGTCCTGAACTCCTAGAGTCTTGTGGAAGAAAGGGAGGAGGGATTGTACCAGCCAGAGGGGTCATGATTGGGGATCCTATAGAGACAGCTGACCTAGGATTGCAGGAACTCATGGAAATTGGATCAACAGTCAGGGAGCCTGAATGGGACCTACCTAGGCCTTCTGCATGTGTGTGACAATCCTGTAGCTTGGTCTCTTTGTAAGATTTCTTTCTAACAGTGGGAGCAGGACTCTCTCTCTCTGACATTTAACTGGCTTTTGGTAACCTGTCCCCCATGTTGGATTACCTGACACTGCCTCGTGTAAGGTGAAAAGCTCAGCTCTGCCTCAACTTGATGTGCCATACTTTGTTGAAGCCCATGGAGACCTGCCCCTTTCTGAATAGAAACTGAGGAGTGTATGGAGAGGGTGGTAAATGGGGGGGGGGGGCAGAAGGAGAGGAGAAAGAGGAAATTGGTTGGTCTGTAAAATAAGTTAAAGAAGAAAAATGTGAAAATAATGAATTTAGAAACATCTTTCTCCCAAGGTTGGACAGGATGGAGAAAAATATTTTACCAATTTATTAGGGCAATAAATACAAATATGAGTTGCCTTTCAGGAGAAAGACAATTTGCCAGCTTAAAAACATATTCTCTATGTCAGCAAATTATTGTATGAAATATGGAAAAATGCAAATATATGTAAATAAAAGTACTTATAGCATCTAGTCTAATAACATACATACAAGTCAAAGGATTTCAATATCTAACAAACTGGAAATTTAATTAATTACATATAGTCATAAGATAGAATGCATGTAGAATGAAATTGAAATTTGTAGGGATATGTTTTATAAAGGAATATATGTGTTGTTCAAGATATGATGGGATTGCATTTTGAGAGTTGAAATGCATTTGATACACTTTGCCTGCTGAACATCATAGCTTAAACTTAAACTTAATTTATCTTAAAACATGCTCAGAAGATTTATATTGGCTTATAGAGTTGGGTAAAATTATGTAACTTAAACAAAAAAATCCTATTTTAAAAACTGAATATCTTATTAATTTGTTAAAAACTGTGCTCAGAGTAAAAATCAGAAAGTATATATGGATATAAGAGATACATATAGGCATTTTTCAAATATCATCAGCTGTGAAAACATGAACAGCCTCCAATAGAATCATATCCACTACCAACACCAGAAGAGCATTTTCCCCCTTTTGGTCCACTGCCAGTGCCTAGCACGATAAAATATTTGATCACATATTACTAGACTAGAAAATTATTAAATTTTACTATTCAAAGTATGGTTTCTCCTGAATGTTTATTGCTTTCACTAAATTGAACTGACAAAACTTGTAAATGTAGTCATCCTAAATTAGGGATCATCTACACAGTCATAATAGTATGAAAAATAAACAAGTAAATAGAATATTCAGGATAATCTCTTTCAACCTGAAAGTTTAAAGCACAAAGTAATGTACAAATATCTTCTTGTTATTACATAAAGAAAGAAGCCAAAAGGGACTCCGGACATAATTCATATGCGGTGATCCTGGGTATGATTTCTATCACCACCAAATCATAACCAGAACCACTGCCACATGACTGGGGATGCAGCTCATTGGAGAAGAAAAATGATACTTGAGAAAAAAACATTCTTATTCACACATTCCAAACTCAACCATGTTTTATGCAAAATTCATCCATTTTCAGAGTAAATTCAAAGCTTATACCTGTAATACCTCCCTACAGTTCTATTCTGCATAGCAAATTACTTCTCCTCTCTCAACAGTCATATATTTCTCTGAAGCTTTTCTTTACTCAATCAGCATTCTCTCCAGAGTTTGAGCTATTTCCATATTTACCATACTTTTCTATTTTTGTAATTTTAACAAGTATACCCTTCAGTCCATTTCTCTTCACTTGAAGATAAATTTTGTAAGAGCACATATATGTATTAACCACCTTAGTATTATAAATAGATCTGTGTAACAGAAACATTTACCAAAATTGACAACTAACATTTACTTGCTAGATACAGCAGCAATAAACTGGTAAGTATTACTGTACTATAATGGGATGTGTTAAATCACAAAAGACTTCAAGGGCAGTCGGTTACAATAAAAACATACCTATAAGCCTTTTTCTAGCCCCTAACTTCCACTATATAACTTATCTACTTATTTTATATTTCTTTTTCAAGATACAGATAACATTTAGTGAGGTAAACTTTAATCATGTTTACATTTGATTCCAGCAGTAAATTTATATTAAACTCAAGGCCAGTATATCTCAGCAGTGTTACTTCAAAGACCACATCAGGCTTGCTTAAGCCCTTGGATGAGTTGCAAGGAGCTTTGATATTTTGCAGACATTTCATTTCTCTGCAAAAAGGAATCTACATGATCACAGTATTCGATCTAGAAATACCATTACAAATGACGAATACTGCAATTACTGAACAGAAATCTACAAGAGCTACCACAGAGTCAGAAAGTTTATTTGCATACAGATTTTACTTGAGACTATCAGAGTACCAGTTTATCTTTAAAATATAAACAGAGCCATGTAAAATATATTCAATACTTATGTTCAATTTTTAAAATTATGGTTGAGATGTAACTTATGAAATATCATGTGCAAATGTTTTTAAAAAGGCTTTGGTGTTGAGAATAGAATCCAGGGCCCTGTGTATGCTACACACTTACTCTATACTGAGCCATGTATATCCCCAGTACTCAAGTATACATTTTAATTGAATAATAATTACAAAAGCAATTTTAAATATAACCATCTCCTATACATAGCCAAGGTTTATAACAACACAGTTCCAATATTCTTAATGTGACTTTTGGCTTTGCTGATACTCTTAGTATGAATTGCAACATAAGATACATGGGGAATTCTCAAGAATTCTAATTATCCTAATTTGAAACTTCCATCATCTCTAGTACCAAGACTATAGAATGTTATTAATGATCTACCTACCATTTTAATTTGGCACCAAGTACTAAGATCACCACTACTAAACACACTGCCACCAAAATAAGATCTAAAATAAGAGAATATATAATTAGCTTACCAATATTTCCTGGTGGCTGCAAAACATCTCCTGTGAGGCAACACCATCCAACTGGAAAGATGTCCCGGGAGTCATATTTACACCAATAATCAAATGTTCCACTCCATCCATCAAAGGTAATATGAATTTGATCTCCTCTGACAGCTCCAATGGTGGCAGGACAGATCAAAAATGGATTTTTTCTATCGACAGCTTCAATCTTCATTCCAACTTTAAAATTATTTAGGGGTGGTGGTGGTGGTTCCTACAAAAACATTTTTAAATTTTTCACAGATAAGGTATATTAAGAACCATCTTTTCAGTGTGTTCTTTTATAATCCTTAGCAACCAAACATAGACTTCATATTTATCAGAAAGAAAGGTATTCTTAAAAATCTTAAACTATTCCTTTAACTTTTTACTTTTTCCCTGCAAAGCCAAGAATCTAGAAGGAAACAAAACTAGCCTGATCCATCCACTCACAAGAAATATATTCCATCACATGGCAGAAATTTAAGACTCACTGACAAAAAATATTAAATATTGTTTCTAGAGAAGTATCACTTTAAAAAGCTTCCTCTCTGTTTTCAGGAAAGAAGTGTCAGGATATCAAAGATATATTTTATTCTGAAGAGATAAAAATAGGAATCGCTCTGGAAGTCAGACACAAAACAGTAAGGCTGTGGAAAAGCATGATGACACAGAAAGATCATGTATGGAAATCCAGAAAGCTTCAGAAGTGCTGTCTGCACCGTCAAGTCAGACTTGAATCTAGAACTGATGTTTAAATAATCTAGCCATCTACAGTGAAAACATAGTGTTTTGAAAACACTGGAGAAAAAAACTGAAGATGATATAATAAAGGGAGACCTCTTCTGCATATAGAATGGCAGTATTAATATTATAAAAATGGTTATCCTACCAAGACAATCTACAGATTCAGTGGAATCTCTACCAATAGTCTAAAAAATATTTTTTACATAAACTGAAATAAAATCTTAAAATTATATGAAAGCCCAAAATAATACCCTAGATAGTCAAAACAGCTCTGAATAATAAAAAACAACACTGGTGAGGGTGTCAGTATTCCTCATTTCAAGTTACACTATAGAGTCATAGTAGTAAAACCAGCATGGTACCAGGACAAGAAAACAGACACAGTGAGCAATGGAAGAGCACTGAGGACCCAGGTATAATTACATGTACCTACAACTACCTGTTTCCTGACAAAGATACCAAAAACATACACTAGGGGAAAGGTAGCTATTTAAACAAATTGTATTGAGAAATCTAGCTACATACATATGGAAAATGAAATTTGATCCTTTTTTCTCAACCTGCACACAAATCAAGCCAAATGAATAAAAAATCTCAATGATAGATCAGAAACTACAAAACTTCTAGAAGAAAGGGCAAGTAATGCACTTGAGTATATTGACTGAGGTAAGAAACTTGCTCAACAGGGCTCCAATCATCCAGGATAAATACAACAATCAACAATTTTGACTTTATGAAATTAAAAAGCCTCTATACTACAAAGGAAACTGTTAATCAACTGGTCATTGTGCAGAGAATAAATGTTCTCAACTATGAACGGGATAACCACATCCCACCATCCCACCACCACAAGCCTCAGGAGCCATTGCAGAAAAGAAAGGCAGGAAGATTCTAAGAGTCAGAGGTCAGAAAGAACCAGAGCAAAACAGAATCTTTCTGGGTGTGATGGGTCTATCAGATTCTACAGTTACTATTACAAAATGAATGGTGCCTGTTCTATACCAAACTTCTGTTGAAGTATTACCAATATGAACACATTTGAAAATGGAGCCTTAATCCAGTTTGACTGGTGAGACATAATAATGAAACCCACTACGTGTGCACACACAGAGTTCATAAAAGACAATAGAAGATGGTCAACTCTAAACCAGTCTTCAAGGCACCTTAATTCTTATTCTAGCCTCCAAACTGTGAGGAAATATATTTAACTGTATAAATTACTCCACTTTGTTACAGTGGCCCTAACAAAGTATTTGCTAACCTGCAATTTAAAAAAAAAAAACTTTTTTCTATGTGAGAAAAGACAAAGTATTAAACATTTCCATTAGAAAATAAAATCATGTGATAGAGGACAGAGATTTCTTGTAATGCTTTCCTTACTTTCTTAAAGAGCACTGCAGGTGCCAATTCAGATCCAGTGAGTGTTCGTAGTAAGAACATGGGCCATGATGAAACATTCATTCTGTACCCTGTTTTATAAATTAGATATGAAAAAACCTGTAAAACTATGGTAATAAAGGAAAATGGGTTACATTCACATATCATCTTCCAAGAATGACTTTCTAAGGACTTGAGTAAAAGGAAATTAATCTTCTTGTAGCTACAACCATCGCTTTGACATTTGGCAACAAAGTCAAAGTAGAACCAGAAATTTTCATTTTAGAGCAGCCATTGGATAGGGTTTGCCAACAAACACACTTATGTTGGGGACAGGCCAGTATAATACAGTTGATACAATCTGTAGTTCAGTAAGCCTTTTATTCTACAACCAAAAACCACACAAGAATGGGAAAAGGTGGCAAAAGCCTTCTCCTTGGAGCCCCTGACTTTCAAAAAGATCATGTCTGTTGAACTTTACAAATGTACATATACAAAATACATCCTATTTTAAATTTTTAAAGGTGAAAAATTATAATATATATTCTAGCTAACAATATGCATGCTTAAGTATTTAAGGGAAGTATATTTAATATCAACTATTCTGGGATACATAAAAATTCGACAGATGAACACATAAATAATAAATCAATATGGTAAAATAATGACATAGTGAGTCTATGGATACTCAGTATAAAATTCTTTTACATTTTGCATATGTCTGAAACTTTTATAAAATATTAGGAAAAAGACTTCTCTTCCTTTACACATACTAGATATGATCTTAAACTTAAAAGAGAAGTGACCAAAATAGGCTTGTTTAGAAATTTTACCAACTTATATCAGAATTTTGCATATACAGCAGGGACTATAAGTTTGCTAGCCTGTTTTCTGAAGCAACCATTTTCACTGAAAACCTGCCTCCTTAAAATGCTAGAATTGGAAAAATGTTTCTATGACCTCTTGATGAATTCATTCACTAAGATAGAGGTGCATGTGAATCACTGACAACAGAGCTATCAACAGGCAACATATGCAAAAATGTTAAGATAGACCAAGTCATCCTCAAATAAACTTTTACTGAATTCCCCAAAATATAACTAGGAAAAAAAATGGTGTCAATGGAATGGTTGTTACTAATGCCTACTGCCAGGCCTGGCCACCTGAGTTTGATACCCAGAAACCACATGGTACAAGGAAGAAAACTGATTACCCAAAGTTATCACATGTGTACACACACATGCACACACACACACACACACACACTAAATAAATAAATGTAAAAGAAATAAAAACAAGGCAAAAATTTAAAAAACAACTTTTTTTGTAGTGGCACATACCTATCATCTCAGCATTTGGGAAACTGAAACAGGAGGATCGATATAGTTCAAGGGCAACATGAGCTACATTACTGAGATACAGTCCCCAAAACATTGAAATAAACCTATCTCGGACAGGTAAAAAAACCAATGAAGGGGGACTGCTAAACAAAAAACTTGTCACTAAGTTTCACTGAATCTCTTTTAAAATTACTTTAAAATAATTTTTGGTAATAAGAATTGATAATAAGCTCTTTGTGAATGTTAAGTATGTGCTCTTCTCACTGGGCTACCTTCCAGTTCTTAAACTAAATCAATTTTAATTAACAAAAATTTAAAAGATAATACTAAAGTAATTATTCTCAATATTATATATTATTGATTCTTGAGAAATATTTTACTAATAGGGAAAAAATCATTGTGAGTTTTACATTAATTTTTATTTTAAACAGTGTAAAGAATATGAAAACTAACATCTGAAATTCACTTAGAATGAAGAATGATGACTAAATAAACTAAACACTTCTTTTCTACAGATTATATGCATATTCTACAACTCTTACAGGGTTTTATTCTAAAATAGGTTGTAACCATTTTGTATTTTAAAAACATGGTCCAACCAAACACTACATGTGCGTAAACTTAAGCCCTTTGCTAAAATTTCCATTCTCTCATTTTTTTCTATGCCTAACAGTAACTAGGTGTCTAATGATTAGGACTGAAAGAACTCTCTCAATGTCTAAAAGGTACTGATTCTCGTACTCAACTCATAATGTAAAACTCACATTCTTCCTATCCTCATCTTCATACCAAAAGTGTTGAATGGCTCAATGGACAGTATCAAGAGGTGTGTCACTCATATGATGTATAACAGCTTCTTTTCTAAAGGAGTTTCTAAATTTACATGCATGGTATAAGAAAATTTCTTTTGCTGTTTTAAATCTGAAGATTATTGTAACATTTGCTCAAAAATGAGGCCTTTTAGCACACTTATGCAGTATGTATGAAAGTGTCTCAGTACATCATATATCCTCTACTGTAACTCCCTGGCCATAAACATGTAAGAAGGCCAAAGTGGCTTTTTTTTTTTTGAGGGGGAGGGTGTTGAGTTCGAGACGGGCTTCTCTACAGACAGTTTTGGAACCTGTCCTGGAACTAGCTCGTGTAGACCAGCCTGGCCTCAAACTCACAGATCCGCTTGTCTCTGCATCCCTAGTGCTAGGATTAAAGGTATGCACCACCACTGCCTGGCTGGCCTAAGTGGTTTTTTTTTTATAAAAAAGATACTTTAAACCACCTCTAGTGAATAGCTTAGCTTACTAGTAAGACTATGTTCAAGAGCTGTTTCTTTCTCCTTACCCAGTGGGGGTTGAAGTAAATCTCCTTCCTGTTCACAGGTCCCAACAGGCTGTATGTCTGATGAATCAACAAGTCTCCAAAAATCATTCTTATTGTCACTACCATCCAGTCGTAAACGCAATCTGGCACCAGTAGTTGCAATAACAGAAGCAACGCACACCGAAGCAATATTGCGAGGGTCACGTGCCTCCAATTTCATGCCAACTTGGAATTCATTAGTTGGTGGAATCTTAGACTATATATATAAAAAAAACAACACTGTGTTAAAATGCGTGAACTATAAGAAAAACAGATGGCAAATTAAGTTACCAGAATATTTAGGAGACATTATTTAGGTAGCATCACAGCAGGTAAATGAGGCCAGTGTTACAAGGCTTGAGGAAAACTCTCCCTTTTGACTAACATGCCAAAAAAAATTGCTGGCTATCATTATTCTCACACATCTGTATATCCAGAAAACACAAATATAGTCTATAAAATACATCCTGAAAGACATTAAAATATAAGAATCCTATTCAGGTATTCCCCTTGAAATTAACAAGCTAGAAGTCCTATCAAAGTCTATGATAAAGTTAAACTCTCCAACAAACTTCAAACACCTTACACACCTTTAGTCTTGATCCTACAGTGCTCTATCTACCTTGCATTCCAGCTACTCTGTGCCATCTCTTAATACTTAAATTATTTGCATGTTTTCTTTCTTCTCACTCTAACAATCTTAAATAGCATCTGTTCCATGGAGCTCTCTCAGTACGAGTTATTACGTTTGTTATATTTGCTATTTTTGTCTTTCCCTCTACATGGGCAATTTTAAGGGCTTATTATAGCTAGCAAAATAACTGCAAATAGATCACTTGGTTTTGGGTAGCACAAACATAATCCTACTTTCTCCTCATACTACCAGAAACCTGAAATCACAGTTAATCTTCCACATGTTAATACTGTACATTAATGTATGATGTCTCAACAGAATTTTGGCATACCTGTCTGAAGTACTCTGAAGGAGCACTTATAGAACCAGTTTCTTTCAAATACTTGTCCCAGTCAAAATAATCTGGGAAAAAAAAACAGGTTTGATTTGAAGTATATAGTTAATGATTTTTTTCTCTGAATAAAGTAAGTTTTAATACATACATAGAACAAGGAGGGATATAGGAGGGTTCTGACGGGTATAAAGGGAAGGGGGAAGTGTTATACTTACATTATAATCTCAAAAATTAAAAAAGAGAAACAATACTTTCTACAAATCAAGTTCAAACGTCTCAATTTATATTCAGCTATGCAAGAAATAAAACTTCCTAATAATAATGATCCTAATGGAAATTATACCCATATCCTCCTCAATGAATTGTGGACTAAAGAAGAGTGATTTTGAAGGAATGGGCTGGGGATGTGAAGTAGAAGTAGAGGTTCAAGACTTTACACTGCAAAAAAAAAAGGGTGTGTATACCATAAACAACCAGAAAACTTTATAGACTAGAAAATTTGCATATGTGTCAAATATACATTTGATCATCAATATTGTTGACATTATACCATCCCATTAATATGAGGGCACTTTGGGTTTTTTTGAGGGGGGAGCTAAAAGTGCTTAGTATGTATTCTAACTTTAACACTGCAATGTTTTACTAAAAGAAAATTCTGAGAAGCAAGTAGCTCTTAGTGGGCTATTAAATTTCCATCCACAGTGTCAAAAACATGCTGTTAAGATAGAGCAGTAAACATTGAACAGTGTGGTCACTGAAATGGATGATTTTAGTGCTGTACATGTTCTAGAGATTCTTGCTGTGCTCTTTCAAGAGTCTTTATAACATGCTACAGTGCTATCAGAAAGTAGTGTCTCTTCCTGGATTGAACAATTTCATTATGCTAGCCAGACCGTCAGAACACTTGAAAAACTGACTAGAAATACTACAAAATACATATTCATATATAGAGTCTAATTTTCAGCAAACAGAAAGTTTTTATGTTCTTGTTAAACACTATAAATTTCTGACTTCTCTTCCCAAGGTGAATCTGCATTACCAGTTTCTGATATGCAGTGCTACTTTTTTATCCTCAGCCTCCCTTATGTATGATTTCAACTATTTTGATTCAATTACAATCCAAAATGTTAAAGAGAAAATTCTAGAGATAATTCGTAAGTTTTAAATTATACAGTTGCTGTAAGTAGTGTGATGAAATTTCACATAGCCACACTCTATCCCACTCAAGCGATTTATGCCACAAATGCAACCAGTCTGCTAATCACTTAGCAACAACTTGTCATCAGGCGGCTTGCTAAGGTAACAAATAGACAGTATTCAAATATCTTACCTTACTTTCAACTTAACAATGGCCACAAAGTGCAAGAATATTGATACTTGGTAATTCAGATATGCCAGAGAGAAACCATAAAGGGCTATTCTTTCATTAAATGAAAAGGTAAAAGCATTCAACAATGAAAGAAAAGTACTATGCTGAGGGTCCTGATATTTATGCTAATAGCTGTCAATCACTTATTGTGCCTTATTTATAAATCAAATAATTATCACATATTTATATGTAAAGTATCCATTGCTATCCAGTTTCAAGCATCTACCAGAGTAGGATCTTACATCCTTCAAAGGATAGCACAGATATCTGCACATAGAGATTGCTTACCAATCAATTTTCTAGAAAATACAAATAATAAAACCTGGCTTTAAGTATCTGTGAATTTCTATAATATAAATATTGACACCATGGATGACTGCAGTATGCCAAACCAAACTTATTAACCACTAAGTTCAGGGAAGATGTGTACAACTAGCTCCTTCAAGTTAGTATGAGCCATCCCCTGTATACCATAAAATATTATAAGTATTCACATATCTATGCATATGTAATGCACATGTTATATGTAAGGTTACAGAAGTTTTAATTAAACTCAGTCAATAATCTAAAATTACAATTTGATCCTGCTTCTAGTAAAGTGAGTACTACCACAGTATTGAAAATAATGAAGCAAAGTGTCAAGAACAAGTACTTCAGAATCAGATCTCCCTGTTTTCTGTACGAGTCTACGACTTATTATATAACCCTGAGCATATCATTTCATTTTCTCTGCCTCAGTTACCTTATTTACAATATGTGAAATGTACCACGTGTATTTAGAATTAAATGAAGTAATGCCTATGAGTACTAAATAGTGTACAGTAAAAGATTAATGTTAAAATTGTCCCTAAAGTTGTAAATACTTAGCTTTGTACAAAGTAAAAACTGAGATCCAAGTCCACAATTAAATTGTCAAAATATTCCCATGGTCTCCTAACATAAAAATCAGAAGTGCTACAATTTTTTTTTTTTTGGTTTTTCGAGACAGGGTTTCTCTGTAGCTTTGGAGACTGTCCTGGAACTAGCTCTTGTAGACCAGGCTGGCCTCGAACTCACAAAGATCCACCTGCCTCTGCCTCCCGAGTGCTGGGATTAAAGGCGTGCGCCACCATCGCCGGGCGAAGTGCTACAATTTTAACTGAAGTTCTAACACCACATGATCCAACAGAGCAATAAAAGAACAAAATAAAACATAAATTACAAACAACAAAAGACTAAGATATAGTTAAGATTATGACACCTCAAAAAGGAAAACAATGACTACAATCTTTTCCCATTTACGCTAATCCTCTTCTTTGAAGCAGTATCTATAAAGATTTTAGTGAAATGAGAAAATATTTAATGCATCTGATCAAAAAAATTTTGAGATAAGTCTTGCTACATAGTCTAGGCTGACCTCAAACTCAATCTTCCTACACAATTTGTAAATATTCTATCTTCATTTGTATCTGACTTGGCTATAATCTGAGTTACCAATTTCTATCCAGTAGTGTTCTATTAGCATGGACATTTTCTATCATATTGTTAGCCAGTGTCAATCTGTAGTATATACCAGAGATTTACTTTGCTTTATCAAAATTGTTCTTGGCTTCCAATGTGATAATCACTACCATTAACACAATGGAAACACACATGGATCCAATATTTATTAGTTTAGACTTAACACACCTAACACCTACATCAACACCACAGTTGAAATTCCTAACCAGCAACCAAAAGTCGGCCTGAAGTTTTTTCTGCCTTTGTGTCATGTTCTCATTAGAATAGGAGAAGTTGAAGTCATTTTCTCTTGGGGAAGATATCTAGAAACTGATGTATCTCTTCAAAGGACAGGTACATGCACATACATGACTGTGTGATCTGACTAGTGCACACACACACATCCACAGAGTCCTTCTTCATATTAGCCTATACTCTAAATTATACATTAGGTCTAACACATTGTAGAACATGGAATATAATCTCTATCAACCTCCTTGATTTTCTCTGGAGTGGATCAGAATTATAATGTATTTTACTAGGGCCAGGCATGGGTTCATATGCTATGTGAAGATGATGAGCAAAAAATATCTTAGATGAAATCTCTCAGTTTAATGAACACCATACATTATTTCATAGCATTCATTACAACTATAGCTAGGTATTTACTATCTACCAGCCCACTTAAGATCAGAGAAAGCAGGAATCATATATGTTCTGTTTGGCACTAGATTATTGCATGGGTCATTAATATGTGTCAAGAATTATCCAAAAAAAAAGAGAGAGAATTTACCTCTAACAGTAATTCACTGATTACGAAAATGAAACGCCATGGTCTAGATCCTGAAAATATATTCATATAATTGCCTAGTTGATTAGGTAATCTCATTTATATATAAAAATTCTGATAATTTTAAATGACAAATTTCTACCATTAAAAATTGGACAAATTTGCACTTAAATATAAAATTGTAATTTCATGCAATCTTTATCAATTCATCTTTAAATAAATTAAAAGTTAAAATATCACAGTACATTTTGACTCTTTCTATCGCTAAACTTTTTAAGGTATTGGAAGTTAGTATATACATACTATACCAGAAGCAACATGAGTTCACTATAACACTGAAAGAGGAAGAAAAATCATGTATTAAATTACTTAAAAACCTACTGCTTCGCACAGAAGATGTACTTGAATGAGTAGTTTTCTCTTGATTGTCCTTCTTGACATCCATTGATTCTAACCAAAGAGAAAGAAAATAATATTGGAATAGTCTGAAAGACACTTCAAAGATTATAAAATTAATTTAATATTTAAATGGGAACATGTTTAAATTTTATGACTATCTTCATTTGCTATGTGTCCTAATACTTTCCAGCGCATTCTACACTTTATAATTTACTTGTTCGTTTTCTTTACTGTATTTTTCACTACTAAAATGAGAGTTTCATAAAAAAATAAGTATTTAATTCTGTCCGTGTTGCTCAGTAATACATGTTTATAACATAGACCAGGATCTGGGATACATAATGCACTTAAACATGTGTTAAGTGAATGTGTTAAATGAACTGCTGGTGGATCCTTACACTGCTTAAAATAATTTCCTAGAAATAAGTGATGCTTTCAAGTGTTTCAAAAATATCACATGCAAGCTAGAAAAAAATACAATGTACTTCAATGAACTACTCAGGTTTTTCTCTATGCTAAACTAAATATTTCAATGAGGGCACAAAATTCTTGAGACGTCACCAAATCTAAAATATATCATTCACTTTGACAAATTAGAGTATATATGAAAGAAATAAATATAAAATATAATGCTAAAATATCCTAAGGTCTTAATATCATTAAATAATCAACAGTATCATAGTTTTTCAAATGTCTTTCATCGTCTTAAGTGTGAATGCTTGAATCTCAGGACTCAGAGTTTCCATATAGCAATGATTGATATGTATTTCAGGTTTTGATTAAGAAATCCTTAAATGTCTAAGAATACTTTAGGGAGATATATAGTTATCTTCTGTTTAACTTGTCTGAAGAAATCACACACTTACAAAATTTACTAAATAGTTCTATAGTAAGAATTTCTATGACAAAAATGTTAACAGCATGGGTCTTTTTCTAAGGAAACCAACAATCTATTTATAAATACTATACCATACCAAGGTCAGCAAACAAATAAACTAAACAAAATTAAAGGGCAGCATTCAGCACTCAACATGTGATCAGAAGAAAGCAATAAGATAGACAAGACTTGAACTAGGATAAAGAGGCAAATGTGTGAAGAATGTATTATGGCAAATAAAGTGCAACAAAGTACAAAGAGGCGTGGCATATGAATGAGTCAATAAGCAGACTTCTACAGAGAAATACAGGATGAAAGAATTATTCATTCATATTACAGTTAAAAGAATTGAATTCTATTTATTCCTTTTTTAGTTCCTACTTTCTACTATTTTTAATTTTATTGTTTGGTAGGGTGACCTGAAAAAAGTGCCTTTTACATGCTAGGCAGGTACTCTTAATGCCGAAATTACATCCCCAGCCCAGGATATTTCTATTCTTACTTTGGCTTTGTAAAACCCTATTGTAAGACCTGTTCAGTTACCTCCAAGACTTTTGGTTTTCTTATTTGGAGGCCATAGAGAAAGTTCAGCAGGTAAAAGGAATTACTACTCTTGCAGATGACCACCATAGCACCCTATTTAGGTGGCTCACAGCTGCCTGAAACTACACTCTAGGGAATCTGATGTCCTCTTCTGTCTTCCATAGGCAACTGCACTCACATGCACATATCCACAAAGACATAACATACATACATGTAATTAAAAGTAAAAAACATTTTTAAAAGAAGACTTTACCTAAATCCCGTAAGGGACAACAGAATAATAAGGGCAATAAAACCGACTTTAAGAAACGAATATAAGAATTCCAAGTGTGTAGCAAAGAATTTACTGAGATTAGGAGCAATTTAGGTCCTCAATAACTTGATGATTACCTTCTAAATAAAGGTGCTGTATCCTAATCAATTGTCAATAAAATATGTCTACAGAAAAATCTAAGAAAGCATTTCTTCTTTGAAATATGAAAAAGAAAATAATTCTGGAAGGAAAATACTAGAAAGAGAGCATGACAGTATTCGATAGGGAAAAGGGTCGAATCAGCAGGTAATTGTTTAATACTATGTTATTTGTTGGAACATATTAAAGGCTTTATTTCACAAGTTCAGTATATGCTAAGATACTTGTTATAAACAGCTAAAAACAATCTTTAGATAAGCAAGTCTTACCTTCATTCACTGTTTGTCCCATGCTATTCCCTTCTGCTCTATTTTCCTAAAAAGCAAAACAATTAATGCCTTAAGTACCATAAATTTCTGAGATGTAATAGTAGCAAAAATATGAATTACAGAGTCGTATACTTGAATAAAATGAAAAGAAAGCTACTAGCTAGAAAAAAATGTGTATGAGTAACAGCTGCTAATGGAACACGGGTAAGTACAGGGCTTTGTTTAAGGGTATCAAAAATGAAGGGGTAAATCAGAGATGACGGTAGATTGGCAGTGACTGAATTTTGATTTAAGGCCTATAACAGAGTCCACATAACATTGGTGAGAAGTAGAAAAATCATAAATGCAATGAAAAGTTCCACAGATCAAATCTTCTAACAATTATTACCTGTTAAGAGACAAGTAACTACTGTGGAATAGGCCTATAATCTCAGGAAGCTGAGGCAAGAGAATCCTAAATTTAAAGTCGTCCTGGATTACATAGTGAGATTCTGTCTCAAAATTCAAGTAAATTCATTTTAGTGGCAAACTGCTTATTAGGAGGCCTGATTGACTTAAACTACTACTAATTAGTTTTTTCCTGCATGACCTCAACATGCCCCATATTCTAAAACATATTTATTAGACCGTTCTTCTACGAAAAGAGTCCAATCCAAGAAATATTACTAAAACACAGAATAAGCATTAGGAAAAAGATCAGGTGCATATATTTGCCTGTTGTTAAGATGTGATGGTGTACAGACTGAATGTAACTTGGTAATTAAGGGAATGTATTTATGAAGTTACGCAGAAAGATTTTTATATCTCTAGCCCAAGAGATTTATTTGCATTTAAAGTCTCAACTCCCCAAACTTTGCTTCTTCTGATAGTTTTCTCTCACCAATACCAATAATTCTCTCAAGACTTAGCTGTACACCTGTTCTTTCGTTCAGTGGCCAACAATAGACTACACACCTAATTACCCTTCCCCTTGACACTCACCGGTCTTTACTTTCATTCAGTTCTACCTGGAGTAGTAACACAGCTGTTCAACTTTTGCCATAGGTATACTTTTCTACCATAATAAAGCATAATGTCAGATACAGTCTGGGCTGTTTTCCTCCTAAATCACCCTCCGGCTTCAATTGGCTATGCAATTAAGAAAAAAATCCAGAGCTTTCTATGGTTAATGCTAATATCCTCCTCAATTTCAAAATCACCAGACATGTATCACTCAAACACACCATATACACTAACTGAAAAAGATTTTTGTTTCAATGACTCATCTTGTTTTGACTACATCTAATACCCTTTTCTCCTTTTCTGCTTCTTTAAATACTACCAGTTCTTAGAGACCATCAATAAATCCAACCTATTTCCTGAAAGCTTTCCTGTTTCTTTAGTCAATACAAGTATCTGATTCTAGATTTGGTTTATTCATTTACTTAATAAATACTGATATAATTCCTATGATGTGCTTGGTATTACTATGTGGATAGAAGATACACACTCTAGAGTTAGTAGTGGAGAATATGCCTATAATCCTGGCACTTAAGAGGCTCAAATAGGAGATTCGTGAATTTGAAACCAGCTTTGGTACCCAGCAAGACCAGTGAGTGAAGGAAAAAAAGAATGGGGGGGGGCGCTGCGATACACAGTTTACCACATAAAATCTGGGATTTGAGGGCTAGAGAGATGGGTCAGTGGTTAAGAACTCTTACAATATACTACAATATACTGAAGTTCCCAGAAAACATGTTCGGGAGCACAGATGCTGTTAACTACGGCTCCAAGTGATCTGAAACCATCTTCTGACTCCAACAACGTAAGACAGACAAGAGCACAAACACAAAACATGGTAACAGGCAGGCAGGCAGGCAGGCAGGTAGGCAGGCAGGCAGACAAATGGGCATGCATGCGAGCTATATTTTTAAAAGCTGAGTGTTGTGGAATATTATTTTAACTAAGACAAAATGTGTTACATTTGTTTATGCTACAGAATATTACTTTAACTGTGTAAAGGTGTGTTACTTTTGTTTACACTGCATTTAATGATGAAAGGATGTGTGTTTAATTATATAAAGATATGTTACATTTGTTTCACCTTGCTTGCCTAAGGCACCTGATTGTTTTAATAAAGAGCTGAATGACCAATAGCTGGGCAGAGAGAGGGATAGGTGGAGCTGGCAGGCAGAAATAAGAAATAGGAAGAAAAATCTAGGCTCAAGAGAGAGGAAGAATCGAGACGAGGAGGAGGAAAGAACAAGGGACACATCCAGGGTAAGAAGTCAAGCAGATGCCAGCCACCCAGACATAGAGAAGCAGTGAAAATAAGATATACAAAAGTAATAAAAGTATTAAGCCCTGGGGCAAAATGTAGATAAATAGAAACAGATTAATAATTAAACAGCAGAACGCCCAGGTTCACAGCTGGGCCTTGGGTTGACCCACCCTAGCATCTACCCCATCTAGGACCTGCTGGAGTTTGTGAAAGGGCTCTAGTCCTGTGAAACTATAACAGCAAGACCGCCAAGACACAAGATAACCCAGAAGAGCTCTGGTGAGGATCCAGTGAGGATGGTGTACCAAAGACCAGAGGCCTTGAATCAGACCAATGACTCACTGCAATGGACATTTGCCAGTCAAGCTGATGGGACAAAGGAGTATACTAAATGACACACAGAAGCCTCCAAGCCCATCTGGATGGATGAAGAGGTGATGAAGAGTCAGGAGAGAAGGCAAAGCAGAGATTTTTCAGTTTTAGGTGTGGTTTTTATTCTGTTTTGATTTATTGTTTTGTTGTTGTTGTTCTTGGTTTTGTTTGCTTGCTTGCTTACTTTGTTTTGTTTTTTGAGAGAATGCAACAGGGATGGGGAGGAATACTGGGAGACCAGAAGGTGAACACAATTGGGGTGCATGATGTGAAACCTCTAAAGATTCGATAAAAAAGTTTGTATTTTAAAAAAAAACAAATAAAAACATAAATATGAGCTAGCCAGAAACATGCCTAAGCTAGGCCAATCAATCACAACTAATAATAAGTCTCTGTGTCATGGTTTGGGAGCTGGTTGATGGCCTAAAAGAAAAAGCCTAAGAATTGGTGACTTAGCTTCTCATGTGCTGGAGTCAAGAAGATAACATGACAAATAGGGAAACTGACTATGTCTCAAAAGTAAAATATTACTAAGGATAAAATGGAATAAAAAATTCCATTGGTGACTCACCAATTCTTAGAATATTATGGTAGTAAGGATTTGCATCAAACTGAATCTCCCAAAGGAAATAAGATATTCTATAGGAAATATTTTAGCAATCTTTTAGCAAGATCTACCCCCAAGAAATTAGAAATTAGTCTTTTTGTGTGTCAAAATAAATCCAACATCACTTGGAAGGTGGAGACTGGAGGATAAGGAGTTCAAGGTCAGTGGGAGCTACTGAGGTCCTGGCAGAGGGGGGGAGAAGGAGGGAGAGGGGGAGAGAGAGCGAGCGCAAGCAAGAGAATTCATTAGTCATATTTTTAAGTTATTTAAAAATTATAACTTACAAATTAAAGAATCACTTGCCATTTTAAAATTATTTATGTGGAAGTTCTGTACACAGTTAGGCAGCATTTTATATCAGAGAATAGATAAATGAAATACAAGACAAGGGTTGCCAAAATTCCAGTTTATAGTTGTAAATTCCTAAGGTTTTAAAGCACAGCCACAAGATAATTACCCGAAGACCTGCTGCCCACTGACATTTGTGAAGGGCTAGAGTTAATGGCATGGCATGTCAATTTACTACAGGCAGCTCATGGTGTTGTACTTTGACAAAAGAAGTAGATCAAGTTACAGCCTGCTTCTATTATCAGTGCACCCTAGATTTATGGTTTCTAACACCAGCCCAACAAGAAATAATGGAAATGATGACAGCAGTGCCTACTAAACAACAGTGTAGAAAAGCATGCAATAAACTAAAATCTAAAGTGACTAGAAAACGAAACATCCCTGACACTATAACAAACATGTAGCAGGTATCTTCAAACTACTCATTTAAATATCTCTATAACTTCTGAAATCTAAAATGAAAAAAACCTGATCATAAAGTAATATAAAGTTAAGGAATACACACATGTATTTGTCTCTATTGGCTATTTTATCTCAACAATGACTACAAAGATTGTTTTATCTGAGTATATTTATGAAACTCTACCAAGTCAGTTAAAATTGAATATGAACATTACTTCCAAATAACTAGTATAATAAAAAACATTCCAAATAATACTCTTTAAATTATTTTCAAAGAAAAAAAGCGGTTCCACAGCAACAAGGATATTTCTGTGTTCAAAAGTAAGAAAACTTAAGTACATTTGAATTAGTGTTTGAATTTAAGTATTTATAAATAAAAATAAAAGCTAGCCAAAACTGATGAAAGGTAGAAAAAGTGACCAAATATTAAAACCAAGGACTTTGACAACATTCATTCTTAAATAACTAATAAAGGCTATAAGGTACATATCAAATAGAGTTGTTTATGTCTGGAATTCTGAACTAGCTAATCCTTTTGAGAAACAAAAGCTGTGAAAACTGTGATGTGTATTCCGAAGACAAGACATGCAAGTTGTTCCCCAAGAAACAAAAGTATCCTCAAGTATATCATAGAACTGCAGCGTGTCTGTCCCTTTGGAAGTTTACAATGGTAAGTTACTACAAAAGGTGAGCACTCTCTTTCCGCTCTGAGAACAATTTGGTCCTATAAACTTAGGAAGGGGCAGAACCACAGCCATAAACACAAGTTACAAGTAGAGGAGTTAAGTGTTCTCTATCTTCAAATATTTCCCAGCTCTTTACTCACACAAAAATTCAACAAGTTTAGTCCACTTTTTAACTCTTTAAAGAGTTCATATAGTCTCTAAAACACTATCATATCCAACTGCTATGTGAACTCAAAATCACTCAACTTTTCACATAATAAGTTATCCTTATTTCATGTTAAAAAAATCACACCAGATGCCCAAAACAAAAGCAGAAGAAAGATTTAGGGACATTATGTTTAATAGAAATCACGATATAAACACCATCACTA